CAACATTTGTGGCTTTGGGCATTATGGAAAATTTCCTTCAGTTGCATATTTGATTATTTGTTCCCTTCAGATTCTCTTATTCTGTCTTTCTGGAACTTTTATTTGACAGACAAAATATATACTCACTACTCTTTCACGCTTCTAATTTTATTTTCTCAGGGCACCTCTCTCTTTGCCTTTTGCTCTTCAATTGTGGAGAGTTCTGTGACTTTATCTCCCAAATCAAACATGTAGTATTGATTGTCCATGTGATGAAGTTTTGGAATATAGGTGAGGTCCCGAGACAACGATCAACAAACAATTCTTGAGATGTCTTTGGTACAAAATGGTGATTTTATTAAAACAGGGGGACAGGATCCATGGGCAGGAAGAGCTGCCGCCCTGGGCCTATGAGGGAAGGATGATTATATACCCAGGTTTTGGGGGAGGTAAGCAAAAGGGAAATTCCAAAAGGATTTTCATATGCTAAGGAAGACCTACAAGATATTGGAGGCCATGTCATTGTCAAGTTAAAGATTGCTTTTCCCCTCTAGCAAGGCATTAACATTAAGACAATTGGAAGCTTCCTGAAGAAGTCACACACATCCCACCCTGTGGGATATCACCTGTGGTTTGTCCTCAGCTAGCCCTGCTCCCTCATCACATGTATTAAATTTTATTAATTTTAATTTGGAAGAATTATGTTTTCCTTAGATTGCAATATTTTTGTTACAGGCTATAGTTTTGTGAATACAGTGTTCTCTTGTATGATATCCAGTCTGAAGAGAATTAGTTCATTTTTTAAATGTTCTCTTTTGGTGTTTTGAATCATCTGATGGACATTTGGTTTTGTCAAATAACTGGTATTTTTTTAAGATTTTATTTATTTATTTTTAATTAATTAATTTATTTTTTTAGATTTTATTTATTTATTCATGAGAGACACAGAGAGAGAGAGGCAGAGACACAGGCAAAGGGAGGAAGCAGCCCCCATGTAGGGAGCCTGAAGTGGGACTCAGATCCTGGCACTCCAGGATCATGCCCCTGGGCCAAAGGCAGGCCCTAAACCGGTGAGCCACCCAGGCATCCCTATTTATTTATTTAAGAGGGGGGGGGTTAGGGGGAGGGGCAGGGTAGGGGGAGAGAGAAGCCGACTCCCCGCTTAGTAGAAAGCGGGACAGGGAGCTTGATCCCAAGACCCTAGGATCATGACCTGTGCTAAAGGCAGACACTTAACTGACTGAGCCACCCAGGCACCCTCCTGTTAAACTTTTTGACCAATGCACTAAGTTAATGAGTAAGTTGTTCTTATGAGTTGAATTGTGTCCTCCAAAAAGACATGTTGAAGCCCTAATCTCAATACCTGTGAATGTGACTTTATGTAGGAATAGTCTTTGCAGATATAATCAATTTAAGATGAAATCACTATAGCATAGGCCCTGATCCATGACTGTATCCTGATAAGAGGAAAATTTAGGGGCTCCTCCTGGGTGGCTCCTTTGGTTAATTACCTGGCTTTTGATTTTGGCTCAGGTCATGATCTCAGGGTCCTGAAATCAAGCCACATAGGACTCTGTGCTGGGCTTGGAGCCTGCTTAAGATTTTCTCAACTCCTGCCCCTCCCCTCTCTTAGAAAAGAGGGAAATTTAAGTGCAAGCACACTGGAAGAATGACAGAATGTGACAACAGAGGCAGAGATTGAAGTGTTGCTGCTGCTGGAAGTCAAAGATGGCTTGTAAGCCACCAGAAGTTAGGAAGAAGCAAAGAAGGATTCTCCCCAATAGGCTTCAGAGGGAATATGGCCTAGCTGACAGGCTTGAGTTCAAAAGTGTAGCCTCGGGATCCCTGGGTGGCGCAGCGGTTTGGCGCCTGTCTTTGGCCCGGGGCGCGATCCTGGAGACCCGGGATCGAATCCCACGTCGGGCTCCCCGTGCATGGAGCCTGCTTCTCCCTCTGCCTATGTCTCTGCCTCTCTCTCTAGCTCTCTCTCTGTGTGACTATCGTAAATAAATAAAAATTAAAAAAAAAAAAAAAAAAAAAAAAAACAAAAGTGTAGCCTCCGAAACTGTGAGAGAATACACTCCTGTTTTCATGTATGTATGTATGATAGATAGATGATAGATAGATAGATAGATAGATAGATAGATAGATAGATAGATTTATTATGAGGAATTGGCTCATTTAAGTCCTAAGAACTGCAGTTGGTAAGCTGTAGATATGAGCGCCAATGTTCTAGTTCCAGTGTGAATATCGACAGACTTGAGACCCAGGACAAGCTGATGTCCCAGCTCAAAGCAGCCAGGCAAGAGGAAATTTCCCCTCAATTGAGGTAGTGTTAGCTCTTTTGTTCTATTCAGGCCTTCAACTGATTGGATGAGAGGACAATCCGTTTTAGTCAGTCTACTGATTCAAAAGTTAACTTCCAAAAACACCCTCCCAGACACATCCAGAGTAATGTTTGACTAAATATCTAGGCATTCCATGATCCAATAAAGTTGACACATTAAATTGACCATCACAAATCTGCCCTTGGTCAACTTGGCACCCATACACAGCTCATTAAACCATACTTAATCCCCAAATAAAGATAATAATAAGGTCATAATTCCATGTAACATGACACAACTATCCCGTGTACAACCAAAAACATAGTAACCCTTTCTTAGAAGAAAAGGTTAAAACTTGGAGTGAGGTTTACTCTTCTCTTTAATATCCTTTAACTTAAATTCTGTGATGTAAAATTAATACATAAATAGTATAATATAAAGTTAATACATTTATGTGCCATGATAAGGGAAAAGGAGAAGAAAAAAAAACAAAGAAATAGATATAGATATACAAACACACAAATGTATTTGTAGCAAAATAAAGAGGAAATACTCAGTGACAATTTACAGTCCTCATTGCTGTGATTGGTTATGTGGTCATTGCTGGTATTGATAACTATCTTCTTTCACTGTCCACTCTGTATTCTCTTTGCCTTCAGGAAGTACCTCAGCTGGTCATGTTACCTGGCTGAAGGACCCAAACCTTTCTTTCTTTTCTTTTTTTTTTTAAGATTTTATTTTTTATTCATGAGAGACAGAGAGAGAGAGGCAGAGACACAGGCAGAGGGAGAAGCAGGCTCCATGCAAGGAACCTGATGCTGAACTCAGTCCCAGGACCCCAGGATCACACCCCAGGCTCAACAGCTGAGCCACCCAGGCATCCCACAAACCTATATTTCTGATGGGTCTGGCCCTTAGTAGCCCTGCCTGAATTAAGTTATCAAAGTTTTCCATTGACCTTAGTCACAGGGCATGGCAATACTAAACGATACCCTAAGGGATCTCTGTATTCCACACATTCCTTACCTCCACTGTGGAGGATGGTCCAGTTTCCTCTTGGTAATCAGGCTCAATTACCCCAGCCAGCACAGGAACTCTCTCCTTTGCCTGTTGATGCAGATACATAAGATGTCCAAAGTGGCTGAGCTGTGGTCTCAATTTCCAGTTCAATGGACATCATAGTTGTATCTCCTGGTGGATGCATTTCTGCCCTTGGAACTAAGACTTCTAGACCAGCAGGACACAGAGTCGTGAGAACAGGAAGCAAATATTTTACTAGTGGGTCACTGGGGGTAACAGTAAGTGATACCAATTCCATTTCCACTCCTTGGCTCCTTGCACTCCTTGTGGGGGAAACAGTGCCATATATTGGATACTGATTCAGGGTATATACAGCCTTCTGGAGAACACTTTCCCAGCCCTGCAAGGTACTGACCTCTAGCTGTCTGACATCTATCACCCATTTACCCTGCTGATTACTCAGACACAACATCTTCTTCTCTGCATTTGTTCACTTTGAGCTTGCCATTTTCTTGGATCTGTTCTAAATTCTGAAGTGGTTTTCTTCAAAGAATTTGGGCTTTGTTTTTTTCTCACTGTGTCACTTCTCAATCTAATACAATCTACTTTTCATTTTTCATACAATTAATCGTCCAAAATAATCAGTCTTGCCATTATTCAGAGATTCCTCAACATGTCTTATCTATTCATGGAAATCTTTCTCATTTTATAATACTTCTATGAATTTCTTCTCAAATTTTAGGGGATTTGAGACATAAAGGGAAGCAAATATATGTGTTTGGCTTATTATATCTATCCATTCTCTGGCTTTGCTGTTTAAATGTAACATATCATGACCAGAAACAAAGAATTTCTGATTAAAAATGGTGAATTAGTGGGGTGTCTGGCTGGCTCAGTCAGTACAGCATGCAACTCTTGATCTTGCAGTTGTGAGTTTAAGCCCCACATTGGGTGTAGAGCTTATATTGAAAAACTAAATAAAAAAATATTTTTTTAAATCAAAAACCATTTATTTTTTTTAAAAACTCCTTTAAAAAAAAAACCTTGTCCAAAGTTTTTATTTAAAAAGGTGAATTGGGCAGCCCGGGTAGCTCAGCGGTTTAGCACCGCCTTTGGCCCAAGGCCTGATCCTGGAGACCCGGGATCGAGTCCCACGTTGGGCTCCCTGCGAGGAGCCTGCTTCTCCCTCTGCCAGTGTCTCCGCCTCTCTCTCTCTCTCTCTCTCTCTCTCTCTATGTCTCTCATGAATGAATAAATAAAATCTTTTTTTAAAAATTAAAAAAAAGAACATTAAAAAAACCCACAAGAGCAAATGAAATGAAAAAGGACACATAATATATGGTAAATTTTGCCAACTTTTTTTTTTTTTTTTTTTAGAGAAGGAGGGAGAGAGAGTAATGGGGACACAGAGAGAGGGAAAGAGAATCTTAGGCAAGCTCCATACCCAGCACAGAGCTTGGTCTCACAACCTGAGCCAAAATCAAGAGTCAGATGCTTAACCTGCTGAGCTACTCAGGTGCCCCATGCCAGCTTTTATTTTTATTTTTTATTTTTGGAAGGGTACCAAATTACTTTATTTGAAGGAATGATACAAATGAAAGAAGTTTTGGTACAACTTATAGAAAAGGTAAAGGTAACCCCAACATGTGTGCACTGCCTCGGTGGCCAGGGAAGTCACCCTGTGGCTATGGGAAGACAACCTAAGGCTTAGCTCTCACTATCACTGTTTCCCAGGGTGTGCTTGTCAAAGAGATACTCTGCCATGCCAGGTTCGGGAGCCCCCATCTTGCACAGGCTGGTTACATGGTCACCCAGTTCTTTGATAGATTTCACCTGCTCCTTCAGGTAATGCGTCTCAATGAAGTCACACAAGTGGGGGTCGTTTTTATCAGTGGCCAGTTTGTGCAGTTCCAGTAGTGACTGATTCACACTCTTTTCCAAGTGTAACGCACACTCCATTGAATTCAGCCCATTCTCCCAATTGTCACGGTCTGGTTTCCTAATATCCTGAAGGAAGATTCTACCACCTCGTTGGTTCTGCAGCTTCATCAGTTTCTCAGCATGTTCCCTCTCCTCATGAGATTGGTGGAGAAAATATTTGGCAAAGTTCTTCAGAGCCACATCATCACGATCAAAGTAGTAAGACATGGACAAGTAGACGTAGGACGCATAGAGCTCCACGTTGACCTGGCGGTGGACGGCGGCCTCGAGTCCTGGTGGCAGAAGGCGCACCTGCGAGGGGGCCGCGGCGTCCTGGCGGCGGCTGAAGAGCGGCGGCGGCCTGGGCCTGGGCCTGGGCCTGGGCGCGTCCGAGAGCGCTGCGTGGAGGGGCAGAGGCTGGCTCTGAGCGCCGGTTCCGTCCGAGCACTGCTGAAGCAGGAAACCGCGGCGACTCTCTGGCGGAGACTCCCCAAGCCAACTTTCAAAAGATAGAGGGCGGTCGGGTGGGTAATAAGTGACTGCCTGGGGTGGAGGAGGTGCACGTCATTCACTCTACAGAACCCCTCAGGGGCTCAGTATTCACAAGCTAAAATGGGGTTCTCAGCCTGCTGCAGGCCTACTTCCCAGGACCACACAACTAGGTAACTATTTCCCTACTCATGTTTCTCCACCCCTCATGAATCAAAGGGCCAGAAGGTTATTTTCCGGAAAATTTGAGTCCAAGAAACTCTAGATTCAGGAAAAGTCGGTCAAATAGAGGGTAGTTGTGAGGCAAGGGGCTAACAGCATGGAATTAAAAGAATTATTACATACTGAGCTATAACTCCTGTATCGGTTTCCTCATGCTGCTGTAACAAAGTACCACAAACCACAAGTCAGTGGCTTAAATAACAGAACTGTGTTGTCTCACAGCTCTGTAGGCTAAAAGTCCGAGATCAAAGTGTAGGCAGGATTGGTTCCCTTTGAGTACTGTGGGGGAGAATCTGTTTGTCTCTCTCCTAGGTTCTGGGGGTTTGCTGGCAATCTGTGACATTCCTTGGCTTAGGCTGCATCACTCCAATCTCTGCCTCTATCTTTATGTGACATTCTTCCCGTGAGTGCATGTCTGTAGTCAAATTTCCCCTTTTCACAAGGGACCATCATATTGAATTAGGGGCTCATCCTATTTCAGTATGACCTTATCTTAAAGAGCTAAAACTACAGTGACCCTATTTCCAAATAAGGTCACATTCGGAGATACTGAGGTTTAGACTTCAACATTTGAATTTGGGGGTACATAATTCAATCAATAAAGTTCCCTTACTTATCCTATTCTCAGAATTCCAATAATTGGATATTCTTTTTTTTTTAAACGGTTTATTTTTTATTTTATTTTTTAAATTTTTATTTATTATTTATGATAGTCACACACACAGAGAGAGAGAGAGGCAGAGACACAGGCAGAGGGAGAAGCAGGCTCCATACACCGGGAGCCTGATGTGGGATTCAATCCCGGGTCTCCAGGATCGCGCCCTGGGCCAAAGGCAGGCGCCAAACCCCTGCGCCACCCAGGGATCCCAATAATTGGATATTCTGAACACATCTTTGTCACCCTTCTCCCTGTGTGTTTGAAAAAATTAAAAGAACCTAGATAAAAAGTTTTAAAAAAACCTGACACTTGTAGTTCTTCAAAGATTGCATTTTGCTTCAGTTTATTCTACCTGTTGTCAAGTCTCACCCACATGTACAGAGCTTCCAATCAGCTCCTTAGTTCTTAAATATGAAATGAGCATCCTGGAATCACTAGGTACCTAAGTAGTGTTTCCAATAAGGAAGAGACAAATGGAAACAGAAATATAAAGCCCTGAAGGAAACAGACATAATGCAGTATCAGAAGAAAGCTTTTTTAAAAATTATAATTAATAATCACAGAGAGATAAAATACTGCAATCATAAATTTATCTTTTTTTTTAATTTTTTTTAATTTTTATTTATTTATGATAGTCACAGAGAGAGAAAGAGAGAGAGGCAGAGACACAGGCAGAGGGAGAAGCAGGCTCCATGCACCGGGAGCCCGATGTGGGATTCGATCCCAGGTCTCCAGGATCGCGCCCTGGGCCAAAGGCAGGAGCCAAACCGCTGCGCCACCCAGGGATCCCTTATCTTTTTTTTTAAGTAAACTCAACCCCCAATATGGAGTTTAAACACATGACCCCAAGATCAGGAATCATATGCTCTACACACTGAACCCATTAGGATCCCCTGCAATCATAAATTTAAAATGGGATGTTTTGAAAAGAAAATGTTTCCAAAAAAAGAAAGTGGTCTTAGAAATCAAAAGCAGGATAGAATAAATAAGAGTAGATTATCAAAGAAATAATATAATATGAAATATACATAATAAAACATATATGAAAATATATATACATGAGGAGTGCCTGTATGGCCCTAGAGGTTATGTGTCTGCCTTCGGCTCAGGTCATGGTCCTGGGGTCCTGGGATGGAGTCCCTCATCAGGCTCCCTGCTCAGCTGGAGTTCAGTAATCTGCTTCTTCTTCTCTTTCTGCCTCTCCCCCAGCTTGTGTGCTCATGCTCTCTCTCTCTGTCTCTCAAATAAATAAATGACATTTAAAGAGAAAAGAAAATATATGTACACGAATTTTATGTGAAATTATATATATAATATTTATTTCCCTGGAAACCTTCCCAACCCTTTTTCCTCTTGCTCCACTCTCAACCTGTTTTTCTCTAGATCCAATACAGTAGTCATCCTGGGATGTCTCTTTGCTGCTTTTCTGACAGTAAATATTTACAATCTAAAAATAACATAAAACCACCTTATAAACTAAGAAACAATATTGAGAAAAACTCTAGATTTATTAATATAGCAATAGATGATGAAAGACAGTAAAGCAATCTTCTTAGCCAAAATTTTGATTGTGATGCAACAATGAAGTTATTTTTAGTCACACAACATATCAAGAAATAAATCTTCCATACAATCTTTCTTGAGAAGCTTTTTGATGATATGCTTAAGCCAAGCAATGGATTATGCAAAGCATAGGTTGTGGACTATAAGAAAGGAAGGATCTAGCCAGACAAGCAGCAAAGCAAAGAGACATTTCAGGATGACCACTGTTTTGGGCCTAAAAAAAAAAAAAGAAAGAAAAGAAAAGAAAAGAAAAAAGAAAAAAGAAAAGCAGATTCAAATTTGAGCAGGAGGGGATCCCTGGGTGGCGCAGTGATTTAGTGCCTGCCTTTGGCCCAGGGCGTGATCCTGGAGACCTGGGATCGAATCCCACATCAGGCTCCCGGTGCATGGAGCCTGCTTCTCCCTCTGCCTATGTCTCTGCCTCTCTCTCTCTGTGTGTGACTATCATAAATTAAAAAACAAAAAAAAAACAAAAAACAAAAAAACAAATTTGAGCAGGAGGAAACAAGGCTGAGGAGAAACGTCTCTAGGAAAATAAATATAATTAATAGTTTGACATATTTTTGCATTACTAAGGTATCTGCTATAAATAGGTATATAGATATTGCCATATCTCTTTGGGAAAAAAGGGAACATAATAAAATGATATAAAATTATAAAATTTTCTTAAAAATCAAAAAATTGTTTGAGGAAAGGAAATTTTTTTTTAAGATTTTATTTATTTATTCACAATAGACATAGAGAGAGAAAGAGGCAGAGACACAGGCAGAGGGAGAAGCAGGCTCCATGCCGGGAGCCCGACATGGGACTCGATCCTGGGACTCCAGGATCGCGCCGTGGGCCAAAGGCAGGCGCCAAACCACTGAGCCACCCAGAGATCCTCTGAAAAAGGAAATAAATACATTATTTGGTTCAGTGGTGAACAGTTATCTACAGGGCCATAAAAATGGAAACTTTTAAAGAAAATGGAAACTTTTTTGTTAATTTTTTAACTACATAATATGGTGAGAGAAAGTGTGAAATGATAGTGGAAAACAACAAAATGTTCATTTTTAAGCATATTGTCTAAAATTAATAAATCAAATTTGTAACATAAGCATATTGTACCCAAAATAGAAGAAGAAACAGGTAAAAGAGTTCAAGGTAGGTGATGGGAGAATAGAAGAATAGGGAAGGGTGAGAGGGTGAGGCAGGGATTACTGTTTATAAATCATTTACATTATCAGATGTTTAAAAGTGTATGCATGTGTTATTTTGACAAAAATAACAGATTTTTAAAAAAGAATACAGAAACAAATAAAACACCAAAATATACTGATAATAATTTGAAAACATATTCATATGTTTCCCAGATGTGGTATGATGACTGGTACTCTACATACAGCCTTAAGAAAACAATCAGGTTGATCAGATACTTATATTATTAGCTTCCTTGTTTATACAAGTAACAAACATAAAAGTCAATGTGATGGACACATTAATATACACCTAATGAGTTAAAGGTTAATTGTAAAGACAGAGCATTTTATTGTAAAACCTATAGAAATGTAGAATCTAGTCATGTGTATGTATGACTCCATGAGGATACTGATTGCAGTGTTCTGGCAGTATTTGCAATTTTTTTCAACTTATCATTTTACCATTTTTTTAAAAGTTTATTTATTTATAATCTTCACCCAACGTGGGGCTTGAACTCACAACCCTGAGATCAAGAGTCACATGCTCCACTGAATGAGCCACTCAGTTGCTCCAGTAGTTGCAATTTGAATTACAAAAATCAGCTCCATCTTATGGGTATTCCTAAGAATGTGGATTAATAACTACATGGATTGTAGACATGAATTTCCTACTTGTGACTCTTGTGATGTCCATGAGTTGATATTTTGGTTTTCTTGTTTTTATTATATTTTTTAAGTTGATAATATTTTGTGTTAGCCAAGGGTGCAGCATAAGGAATCTACAAGAGGAAGAGATGAAGAAGCATTAGAGGTGAAAGAAGAAAATAAGAAAGATTAAGAACAAATGGCCAGTAGAATAGGGAAAGATTGCACATTGGTTGTTCTGTCACTGTGATACTGAATAGTAAAGAAATTACTGTTGTGCCAATAAGCAAGGGGATGTTAGGCAATCCCCCACCAGAAAGTTTTCAAAAGACTAAATTCCAGAATAGCTACCTTCATGGAGAATAATAGAGTTAAATGACAATGACCAGACATGGAGTTTCAGTACTGACTTAATGCTGGCTTTCTGAAATAGACAATTAAAGTGTTTCATAGACATTATATATTGTAAAGAACTACCTGATGATATGAGATTCCTTTTATTCTCACTGGATGACAGATTTTAAAACACGTTGATGGAATTTTAGCAGTGATTAAATTTATGTTTATTATAGGCATTTTTGAAACACAGTGGAGTAATGTATACAACTACTGTGAACAACTAGGAAGTTTAGGCTATCTATAGAAGAAAAATACAGGGATATTAAAGGTATAGCTTTGAAATTAACTCCCCAACTCCCCAGTATGTACTTAATAATGAATAACTTGGGAAAAAGAAAGATGATTTAACTTTGTAAATGTGCAACTAAATTTTATGAAAGTCAATTTTAAGAATTCAAAAAAAGATGTTTTAAAGTATTTGTTCAGCAAATTCTTTAATGTTTTCATTAATAGTGTAAATGTATCATGATATTGCTATTCTTTCAGTTGGATATAACTATTGTGTTCACAGGTTTCAATAAAAGTCTACTTCATATTTCTACACACATATGTATGTGTGACAAAGATAACTTTGCTTGTTGTAAATAAGTCAACACATAGAGGTGTAAAAAAAAAAAAAAAGCAAGGATTCTCTTTCACCTCATTCAATATCACCACCCATCAGGAATCTTGACATAGGTGCAAGTTGTCCACCTCATACATAGTGCACTTCTATTGCAGTGTTTTTTTCCCTCCAAAACAAGAAAATGCACTAAATTTCTTTTACTTAATATTGTAGATATTTCTTCTGATCCATACTTTAAGATCACTTGAAAAGTTCTGTAATATTGATGTGTCATAATTTTTGGACCATTCTCCTATTGCTGGACATTCATAGTATTTGCAGTTGCTTACTATTATAATATTAAAATGAACTTCCTTTCCATATATCTTTACATATTATTGACAATTTTGTTCCATAGGATATATTAATAGAAGTGGAATTTGCTAGATTAAAAAGAATACATAGGGGATCCCTGGGTGGCTCAGCAGTTTAGCGCCTGCCTTAGGCCCAGGGCGTGGTCCTGGAGTCCCGGGATCAAGTCCCACACTGGGTTCCCTGCATGGAGCCTGCTTCTCTGTCTACCTGTGTGTCTCTCTCTCTGTGTGTCTCTCATGAATAAATAAATAAAATCTTTTTTTTAAAAAAAGAATGCATAAAACTATTATTATTGAATAGGTACTACATGAGCAATGCAAGAAAAAATTCAGAGGAAAAACAAAAATAAAAAGGATGTTTTTGGGACACCTGGGTGGTTCAGGGTTGAGCGTCTGCCTTTGGCTCAGGTCATGATCCTGGGGTCCTAGGACTGAGTCCTGCATCAGGCTCTCCACAGGTAGCCTGCTTTTTCTTCTGTCTGTGTCTCTGCCTCTTTCTCTGTGTCTCTCATGAATACATACATAAAAATCTTAACAAAAACAAAAACAAAACCCAACCAATGTTGGTTTTTTTTTTTTTTAAGTATTTTATTTATTCATGAGAGATGCACAGAGAAAGAGGCAGAGACATAGGCAGAGGGAGAAGTAGACTCCCTGGGTGGACCCTGATTGTGGGACTCAATCCCAGGACCCCCTGGGGTCACGACCGGAGCCAAAAGGCAGACACTCAACCACTGAGCCACCCAGGTGCCCCCAAACAATGTTTTCTATCACACATTGATATATGTGATGCTTAAAAAGAAAAGTTTGGAGAATCTATCATCTAATGTATATACCACCAGCCCAGGGCATTGGATTATGATAATCATTAGTTAATGTGTGATTAGGTATACCACTATCAATATCCAATATTCAATAGAAGCTCTTGATTTACCATGGGCATTGCATTAAAATGTGAGGCAGGTTTGTATTGTACAGTTATTTAAATAGGTCAATTCCATTGCTTAATATATTTTAATCTGAAAATATCTATTTTGTGGATTACAAAAACCACCAGATTTTCAAAGGATATGCAGACCATTTAGTCCACAAATTTTCAATTTCTACTACTCTTCTTGTACAAAATAAGACTTTGAGAATCAAAACAAAACCAGTAATAACTGTTTGGCTAACCAGTCCTATGACAAATGTTTAAAGAGGCTGCTTAGAAAACACAATATGTCCACCTTCACTCTTATCACAGTGTTATTTATGACAATGAATTATGATACTGTATTATCATTAAAATGTATGCTCCTTGAAGGCATGGATTTATTTTCTCTGATGTGTCCCCAGTGGCTAGAGTAGTATTAGGTATAGGATAGGGACTCAGTAAATACTAGTTGATTGCATATTATTCAAATTTAACCAAGAACTGGAAGACATAGACTTAAAAAAAAAAAGATTTTATTTATTTGTGAGTGACACAGAGTGAGAGAGGCAGAGACATAGGAAGAGGGAGAAGCAGGCTCCCCTCAGGGAGCCCGATGTGGGACTGATCCCAGGATTCCTCATGCCCTGGGCCAAAGGCAGGTGTTCAACCACTGAGCCACCCAGGTGTCCTGGACATAGACTTTTAAGTGATCTTATTTCAACATTTAAACAAGAGGTAAGATACATTCACTGTTTGTAGTATGCCCATAAAACAGCTAAAATCAAGTAACATATAGAAAGGTAGTCAGATGGAAATCATGCCCTACATTATCAAATGCATTGGATCACCCGTAGTCCTATTGTACCACCTGGTTTTAGCTTTCACAGGGATAGGTTAGCTACTCTAAACCCAGGAGCCTCTTTGCATCATGACATACTGTGTTATAGGTACATAATACAACTCAACTTACACAGACACAGAAAAAAAAATAGGAACTGTTAGGAGACCCACAGGTACATATATTCAAATGGTTCACCTCTAAAAAAGGTTTAATAAAGATTTTAATGAGATTTTTTTAGGAAAAGTAAAGACAGATCTTTGATGCTTTGTTGATATTAAACAGGAAGCTGAAGTATTGACTGATTTTTTAAAGGTCCTTCCTAACATTTTGATTCCAGGAAATATACTTTATAAATTCATTAATTTTCTGTCAGAAAGAAGCAAATAGGAGAAATGTATGCCCTCAAAACTATATAAAACTACTAAAAGGCAAGACAACTTTCAACTTCTAGCATTTTTTAACCTCAGTGGTGAATAATATAGCAAATCATTGAAAAACCCAATGAAACATATAGAAGGCAAATTAGGCCCTTGTCTTTCATAATTAATATTTCTAGAGGTAGAAAATTAAAGTTTCCAATTAAAAGCACTTACTAGGTTAACTATTACCTACGTAATTTTTAAGGAAAAGAGCTATTTTTAGCTATGATGTGAATCTGATTTGACAGAATATATGCTTTTATATTGAGCTTAAGGGCTAATAATCCTATAGAGATATAAGTAGTAGAAAAATAAAACTCAGTAAAATTCTGTTGGTATTTTTTAACTATGTTACTTAAGAAAAATTAAATATAGGGCACTTGGCTGGCTCAGCTGGTAGAGCATGTGACTTAATCTTGGGATCAAGTTTGAGCTCCATGTTGGGTGCAGAGATTAAATAATTAAAAAATATCTAGATGTTAACTGACTCACAAAATGTGCTTTCAAAAACTTCTGAAACAATTTCTTTTTGAAATTTATTTCCAAAAGTCAGAGACAAAACTTTAAAAGTGACACATTTATACTAAGGATACATGCTTGAGAAAAAGAAAAGAACAGGAATACAAAAATAGACATAGTAAAATTTTAATGAATACAATATTCTGATATTCCGGATACAAGTAGAATACCACTAGGTAAGAACTGTATTTACCTTCGAAGTCTAGGATAGTATGGTTGGAGATAAACGAAGGTTTAGGACAGCCACTTTACTATTCACAAGTTAATCAGTGCTGACCAGAAACTAAAGCAATTTATTTTGGGTTAAGAATTTCAATGAAATTATAAGATGAATCTTCTTTTTTAATGAATATGTTTTAAGGTGATCTGTACTCATATAAAGGCAGTCAGGGCAAGTCAAACCACAGAGAGCCCTCACAAAGACTAAGCACCAAATGACAAAATGTTTGTGGCTTTCATTTTGAGCCACTTTAAATTTTATTTTGTTTAAATGTGTTTTCCATTAACATTCACATACAAATTCCTTCAGGCAAAAGTTTTAACATAGAACTTTCTTCTTGGAGATCTTGCCAACTGTTACTTACAATAGTTTTTAAGCAATGAATACTTCAGAACAATCCCAAGCCGATACTTAATTGGTTACAATTGTAAGATGCAGAGCTTTTTTTAAAAAGTTTTCTGGTCCCCCAAAATTCAGTAGGGCCAAATGCATTAACTGGAAATAGCATTTGTTAAAAAAAAAAAAAAAAAAAGTCTTAAAAGAAGATAATGAATAAAATAACTATTTAGGCTCTTGTACACAATCTTTCTAAATTTTCACCCTGTAAGAAATGATTACAATGTCCTTCAGGCTTGCTATATGCCCTACAGAATTAAACAAAACAAAACAAGAAATTTAACATTTCAACAAGCTAGTAACTATTTACTGTAAGCATATAGTGAAATTCTGGAAGACAGACTACCATACTTCAAGAAAACACTATTAACAGGTAAGCTTGTGTTGAAGGCAGTTTATAAATGAAACATTACAAATCTTATGTTTATGCATACAACTTATAAAATAGAAAAAAAGCTATTTTTCCAATAGTATAGCATCACACTAACACTATATAGTTAAGATCGAAAGCTTCTGTACATGTCCACTACACCTCCACAGCAGCATAGGCCTCAGACATTTTCCTTTGTTATCCAACATACGCCAACCATGGTTTCACCGATTTGTACCAGTTTAGGCAGGCTAAAATAATCACTCTGCCATGTTTATTTAACTATGAGACAAAGTTAACCAATTTCAGGGAACAAAAGGTTTCATAATCAGTAAACATATTAAACTTCCACAAAGGTTGGAAAATGCTTCTAAGGACATGATATAATCCTAACAGGAGGATGAATTATGCCCCTAGATAAGAGTGTATGTGGGAATAGTTAGGAGCCTGGAGAAATAAAGACATATGGGACCTAAATGATCATCAAATCAGTAATAGCTACTAGAAACTCAAATTTTAGTGCAACATCATCCAGTTTACCACTTGACTACTCAAAACTGTTCTGCCACTACGTTTGCTGTTAGTGTGAATTAATATTGAAATAGAGAGCAGTCTTAATCACATGGAATTTCGAAAAATTAGAATGATTGTGTATCTAACCTTAGTTTTGTACTCTGAAAATGTTATAAAGCTCAATTATTTTCCTGGCTTCTTAGATCTTCTACCATCTTAAGTAATTCAAATTAAACATGGTTGCCTGCAAATTCTTTACTAGGGGAAGTAAAAGCAAAGTACATTTTGGTTATGTTTTGGTGCTGGTCTCATGTATGTGCTTTAGCATTGACAGCACTACTCCAGGCATTTATTGTGCTACTTTACATAACTAAACACGAGAAAAACTCATTCAGTCTGAAAATCTTTTTTTTTTTTTTTTTTTTTTTGGTGGCAGGCTTATTTAAAAATGAAAACAAAAACCCACATAAGTTCTAAAAATCAGATGGGCATTTTGACAACCTGAACTAGGAACTTAAGTCTGTCAAAGAAACTCAGACATGGAAAGCTGTTTCTGAAAAATAGAACGTTTTTTCACTTTGGCTTTTTTTTTTTTTATCTTAAATGATTTGTGGTAAAACCACCTCAAAGAAAACTCCCAAGTCACATTGGGCATTCATGTCAGTGCTTTGTAATAGAAGTGTATTTTCTAAGCATTTTAAATTTTAATGTTTTCAATGAATTTAAGTTCTTTTTTTTTAAAGCTCTAGTCCAAGTCTTCAGCTATTTAGTTTTTTAAAAATATACTTTGGGTCTTCAATAGAGAGGACATAACTGGGCTAAGCTACTTTGATGACCTTACAGGATGGTGAGGTTCACTCATTTCCTGAGCATGGTTGACCCTTAACAGAACTGATTATTTCCTCACTCAGTTATGCAGGATACTGCCAGTCTCTACTACAAAAATATTGCCAGTCTTTCTAGGCAATTGTTTACCATCCATGTTTAAAAACCTTGTACTACCAGAGGCAAAGCACATAAAATGAAAATAAGTAAGCTTGCTTCTAGTCTATTTATAAAGTCTTATAAATCATATGGGAAAATTAATGTATAGAAAGTAATTTCCTTATTATCTGATCTGTCCACCAAAAAGTAATTACTGGCTTTCTGTAAAAACAGGAAACTCAATCATAAAATGTCTACCTGTTTAAATTAAAATGTCAATCTTGAAAAGTTTTAACATCAAGACACTAAAAAAAAAAAAGCAAATTCAAGAGGATGTTTGAAATGAAATTTATGGTTCAAAAATTTGTTTATAGTAAGAGACACTAAAATCATGTCACTGCAAAATTCCCCATGGCTTTTTGGCACTGACATTGAAATAAAGATTTTAGTCTTTCCGTCACTTGAAGCTGCTACTAAACACAATTAGCCTTTAGAAGAGTGTAAAAAAGACTGAGGAACTGAAGGATAAGGTAACTACATCATATGCACACATAGTTTGAAATAGTCATTTCTTCAAGGGATCTGAAGATACCAGAACAGTTTCCCACCATCCCTTCCTTTTTGAAGAGATAATTCTAATCAGAAATAATTCCTTTATGTTACTGTGAGTGGTGTTGCCTGGCAGCAGCTTCAATTTCCTAGGCTAGTGTTCAATCCAAGTAATTAAGTAATCTCACAAGGAATAATCATATATGGCAACAGGATAAAAGCAGGGCAGTTCTTCCATGCACAAACATTTCAGGAGAAAAACCATTAATTTTAAAGATAACCATCAGGTTTCAGGTATCCTAGCATACTCTAAACCCTAAGTTTTGCTTTACACCATTGGTGACTAAAATTAACAGTAAGTTTTGCAGTGAGGGTTTTTTTTTTTTTTTTGCCTGCAACTATATACACATTGCAAAACTATTCTGCATCACATGATTTTAAATGAAATAAATATAAAAATGAACCACACAATCAACACATAACTTTAATACTCCACATTTATCTTGATCACAATGGTGGTAACCTCCTTGTCAACAATCTTGTGAGTTGAGGAGTTGATTCTCATTTTCATAGCCATCAGGCAGATATGCTCTCCTCAGCTGGTCTGACTTAGGTATGGAGCCTCCATTCTTCACATGGCGAGACAGGAAAGCACGGACTGCTGGGTGATCAGCCTTCTCAAGTGGGATGTTGGCTTCCAGGCACATTTTCACAAAGTCCTGGATAACACTGACTTTCTCTGTTTGCGCAGTACTGTTGCACTGAAGGGATGCAGTTAGGGGCCTCTGCTTCTTTCTCACATTCTGCTCTTCAAACTCTGCCTTCCTCTTGGTATGAGTCTTTGACTTAAGGTGGTCACTAATGGCAGACTTGCGAACATGATTCAGAACCACATTGCAAGAAGTGCAGAAGAGTTTTCCTCCATCTTCGTGTAGCTCACCTCCAAACTCAGTGACTCGATCCAGGGGAGTCACATATAAAGCAGTCTTAGAACGGTTTCGAGCAGGTGGTGCTGTCACTACAAATCTTTCCATTCTGACACTGAATAAGGTTCTTTCAAGAGAAAGAGAGGTAAGTGTTATAACAACAGTTTGTTTGGAGAGTAATTAACAATAAAAGGTATAAACATTTCAAGAGTAAAGACTTCGGAAAACTTAATTCAAATTAATAAACTGTGTGTCCATTAAGTCTTAACTTACCTGAAATATGTATAGGAAGGCAAAACCAGAGCAAGTTACTAGTAACATCTAGGTCCATTCCTTGAATTTGATGAAATTCAAGTAAGTTAAAACTATGACAAAAGAACTGCAACTAATTCAGATGTCACTATGTTTTAGGAAAACTCAATCTGATATCAATATTTAGGGTATTAATTATATTAGTCTCATCCAATTTAGATGTGTATTGAAGTTTAAAAGACTCTTTTACCTTCACAGTTCTGGGCAACTGATTTTAGGAACACAATTATAGGAAATTATGTTCAAAAACTGCTCAAACAGGTGGGCCAATAAATTGCCCTAATTCTATATGAAGATGGGTATAATGTCCAAAATTGTTCTGAGAAGAAAAAAAGCAAAAACTGAAAAAGAACACAGACCAAATGCAATTAACAGCAGCAACAATGACATAAAATGTTAAAGCCAAGATACAGAGCTCAAAGTAAATAATTTTTTAATGCACATATATCTCTACCGAGTTTTCTAAAAGATGATCAAGATATGCAAAGTGCTTTTTCTAACACCTGTTCCCTCTTTTTGTTTCCCTTAAAGATGAATGCATTTGTTAATTATTTATTCCACTTATATTATTTCATTTGGTAAGTTAGAACAAATCTAAGAAGGTAACATAGTGCCTAGTATATAAGTCTATAAATCCATTTGTTGATGGAATAAGTAAATGATTATTTTTGTTATTTTTCCAAGTATTTAACTCAGAAGCAGCTTAATAATTTCTCAATTTACCCTAAAAACATTTTTATGATCTTTGCCAAAATTATGACGTTACATTATGGACACTGAAAACCTGAGATAAAGAACAAATGTTGTCAGTGACAACCATTTGTTCTCTAGAGCCATGCCTTTGGGCTAAGCTCTTATATTAGCCCAAATATAAGAAATTAAAATGAATTTGATAGAATTCAAGATGGAATTCTGTTCTCTATAAACACGTTAGACAAAAATTCTTAAGTACATTCTGAATAACTATCCTTTAAAAGTGTAACCAGCAATAAGGAAGTATTCCCTTAATCTATATTAGATAATTTATTATTGGGTTATAGGAATTCTCTCTCAAAAGAATGCTAAATTGCCAATGCGTTAGAAACCCATGGACATAAACTCAAGAGACAGACATAACGTTTCACAGAAATTCTGGAAAGTATGATAAAGTTTAGGTTTTAATACATTTAACTGTATCTTCTTCCAATTAACAAATTATTCAATGTTCGACTCTCACGTGCCAAATATTGTGCTAGGCTATAGGTTTTCAATGGCAGAGAAGATATGATATGATATCTGCCCCCAAGAAGATATGATTCCTGCCCCCAAACCAGTTACCATTACATATGTTTGTACTTTAAATCAGTGGTATGTATTTTTTACTCCTCTAACAAATCAGTCAAAATTATGATAAATTTTGTTCTAACCTAGTTATAAAAAACATTAAATATCTGTGCTTAGGAACGCCTAAATCTTGTGATGTGACAGTCTTCTGTCTTTTAAAATTTGTATTTCAAACTTTAAAACAAACATGATCAGTATTCTCTGAAGCGTAAAATGCTCTATCATTTGCGCTAATGTGAAAGGCCTATATACATTCACTGCCTATAACTTTCAAAAATCTGTTTGTGTTACTGCAGAGGGAAATATCCACCCAGTAGAGGATGCTCGACTTTACAGAGACCCGAATAACAAAAGTGTTTTCAACAGATTGTAAAGATATTTTAAACGAGGAAGTTAAGCGCAGGAATTAGCCAACAAAAGAGAAGCTGCAAATTTACTAGACCGAAATCAAACTCACAAGTTTTCAAGTTTAAATGTTTACCCGATCAGTTTCCCGTTTTTTTCGTCTTGATATTTAGCAGTGAAGGGTCTCCAGAGTAAAACCAGAGACGCTTGAAATCCTGGCACTTTCGTTTGTTCAAATCCGGAGCCGCCTTCAAATCAGTTTTTCAACAAGTGGTGATGGGGAAATAGTTCCTGGGCTTGCACCCTATTTTCCCTGCGGTGCCGGGAAGTCATGCCTTTACTGTAAAACAAGAAAAACAAATGGAAAGAAAATATGGGGGAGGGGAGGGAAAGAAGGGTAGATAAAAAGACGAACAAGAACGACACAGCCACCACGGAGGTGTCCTTAAAACCGCTCTCTTTAGGTTGACTCCACACAACCAATCCGGATCCCAACGTTTACCTCAACACGGTCCAACCAGTCCTCTCTTAGTTGTCCGGCCCCCTTGGCACCTCCTCGCGCGACCCAGGCCCCACGGTCGGGGGCGGGGGAGAAAGGCGGGGCGCGGGGCGTCCCCAGCGTCTGGACTCCCTCTCCCGCGCCGAGCTCAGCACCCTGGCGCCCACAACCCCTGCCCGGCTAGCCGGATAGGGCCGGGACCGAGCCGTGGGCCCGGGAACTCGACAGCGGAGTTGGCGGCAGTCTCAGGAGAGGAGGCGGCAGGCGCCTGGCGGAGGCGTCTGCTGTCAGGCTTCCCGTCTCCTCCCTCTTCCTCCCGCCGACAACGGCGCCCCGGCCCCGCCCCCGGCTCCCGCTTCAGGACGGAAGGCCCCGGGCCCAAACCCCGCACCAACGGCCGGGCCCACCCTCGTTCTCCCTAGCTCCTCGGTACCGTAGGATCGGGGCCGCCGTCAGGGGAAGTGGATGAGACCCGGCCGGAAAGGAAAGGAGGAGGAAGAAAAAAGGAGCACGGGGGTAACGAAGGCGGAAGACCCGCCGCCGCCGCCGCCGCCGCTGCCCGATCTAGCCCCGCGGCGGCCGCCGTGTCCCCCGCCGCGCCCCGTCCTCTTGCACCGCCTACTGCAAAGCTCGTAGGCGGGCCCCAGCAACCGCCGAGCAGCACCGACCAACGGACCGAGAGTCTATCAAACAGACGGTGAATTTGGCCAATGGGAGTTGAAGGGCGGGCATGTGTGTGATTGGCGGCCAGACTTCTCCAGTGAAAACTGGGGGCGTGGGTGGGCGGAGCCGGAAGTAGAGACGGCCGAGAGGCCTGTCCGGCTGGGGCGGAGGGAAGGGGGAGGGAGCTAGAGGAGGAGGAGGTTAGCCGAGGCAGCTACAGCGGCGGCGGCGTAGGGGCTGGTACGCGCTGGGCGGCGAGAGCCTCATGGCGGAGGAAGAGAGCGATCAAGAGGCCGAACGCCTCGGAGAAGAGCTCGTGGCCATTGTGGAGTCCCCGCCAGGCCCTGTTGGGTTTAGAGCTGCGGGCGACGGCAGAGGTGGCGCTGGCGGCGGCAGCTGCGGTGTCGGCGGCTTTGGGATCAGCAGTCGGGATTACTGCCGACGCTTCTGTCAGGTGAGGCGCCCGTCGGCCGCCTGGACTTGTCACCCGGGTCCTGGGCCTCCCTGCGTTTCCTGGCCTTCTCGTTCTCGAATCAGGGCTGTGTCCGGTGTTCGCTCCCGGAGCCCAACAAGGAGAGAGAGTGAAGATCCCTTCTCCACCTATCCGGCTTGGGGTGGGGGGCAGGGAGCGGGGCTGGGATGACCCGCGGGTTTAGGGTTGCTAGAAAGTGAGAGTTTGTCAGGGGTGGAGAGGTGGCGAGAAGAAGGGTCAGCTGGCAGGAAAGCTGTGTGCTGACATTCCTCCTCTGCTCCGAGTAGACCCCTTTCTGCCCGAGGGTCCCGCCTCATTGGGTTTCCTACCCTGTTCCTTCTCACTTCGTTTGGAATCTCTGGCAACATTTCCTGCCTTCCCTTCTCCGCCCCTTGCCCCCCGCATTCTCCCCTTTTTCGGAGATGGGTGGCATGCCATCTCTCTACCGCCCCCTCTCCTGTCATCGCCACCCCTCCCCCTCTGCTTAGGGTCTCCTGTCATCCCCTCTCGGGATCCCACTGGGCCGGTTCTCCAGGTGGCTTAGGAGCTGACCCACTGTTAGTTACTTTTTCGGGAGGTGGGGGTTATGGCAGTGTTATTGTCATCTTTCCTTCTCTTACACTGGTTTCCCGACACACGTACTCTCTTTTCTAATGAACTGCTGATAGAGAAAGTAGTTTTCCCTAAAGTGCTGCTCTGGTGACCTCACCACCCCCTTCCGTGTTTTAAATTACAATGTATTTTACGCAGCCTGTAAACTACAGCGTCCGAACGGTGACTGTAAATTATTTACTTGGTCGTCTGCCACTACGATTTATGTACTTTAGAATTTGAATATGATCAAATATTATAGCAACAAAGTGCTTGTCTAGGTGTAAAATTCTTGTAATTTACATTCACATCTACATGTGTTTATAGTTTAAACATTTCGTTCTCATTCACAACACAACACTTTTGTTTTGCGAACTGTTTTGGATTTTTTTTTCTCTTTTAACACGCCATTCCTTTTTTTTTTTTTCCATTCCCTTTTTTTTATCATCATCTTGGATGTATACAGTTCAAATCATGGCTCCACCACTTCCTAGTTGTGTTACTTTGTAACCTAAGTAACCTACAAATTACTTAATCTCTTTGTGCCTTAGTTTCCTCTTCTGCCAAACGAGAGTAATTAAGTGGGTGAATAAGTAAAAGATTTGAATCCTTCACATATTAATTAAAGTTAGCTATTCATTTCATTGTGGTAACAAGTAGGAGTAAAGTTAACAAAAAGTGGGCATTGTGTTTGCTGAAATTTGATTTTATGCTTTTGCAAGCATTGAAAGAAAAAGGATGGAGTTGACATTTTCAGGTGTTTTTAACACTTTAGCTTAAATAGTTTCTTGACTCCCTCCTCCCACCTCCATAGATAAGTTGGTTTGAAGGTGGAAATTGTCTTGGTATAAAGTGTGTCAGTTTTCTTTGGCATTGTTGTCTGCTTAGTGACTTTCTTGAATTTTTTTTGTATTGTGATTCACTGGATTTAAGGATTATTCAGTGTCTTTACAGTACTTCTAACTATATGTTTTACATGTAGAAATCACATTATGGGTAGACTTTGTATCTATGGTAATTTTAGACTTCTGAAAATTAGGTTACAGTTGATTTTTTTTTAATATATTCACAGGCGAGTCTTTTCATTTTTTCTGTTTTCCCTCCTATAACATTAATGAGCAACTTGGTTTTGATTACAGTTAGTTTTGTTAATTTACTTGATCCGATAACTGTTATTTGCTGTAGAAGTTGAAATTTTGAGGACCAGAACATTTTTAAGAACAAATGAATAAATTTAGTCTAAAATACAGCATCTGAACAGTGACAGTAAATTATTTTAAGAACAAATGAAGTTGATGGTTCTATAAAGCTTAACTACCTCCTAAATATCCAGGAAAATAAACTAAACAGGAAATACTTAATGAATTTTTATTTTGTATTACTAAGTTATGAGTTAAGTTATATTGGCATACTTTCATGTTACTTTTACCTGAAACGTCATTACATATTTTATAGTACTCTAGATTACCAGTAGTTATGTCCTTAGGGTTCCTGTCCTAGTTCCACCTTCCAGGTGAGCTTTGTGTAGTTCTTTTCTGTATTAAAAGTTTAAGATGGAATAAAGGATTATTTGTATTAATTTGAATTTTATCCATTGGTTAGTATAATTCTAGTATAGTAGTTCTGTTTTATTTGCCAGTAAGGGAAGCAGTGGGTCATATAATCTAATTTCCAAAGATTGTTTCTTTTTAAGTATTTGGGCTCCTAATATTTACTAAGAATAATTTTAAATTACTTATATTCATTAGTAAATTACTTAATCATAAGTAATCTATAAAATGGATAATATGTACTTCGGTGGGTGACAGTTAACTAAATATATGAATTAAACACAGAGCCTTGTCGTGTTGAGAAGAAAGGCTCCAATTTATCTTCCTCTTAGAAAGAAATATGAATAAAAATTTCTTGGCAGTTAGTTTTGTGGGTGAAGGGAGAGAGGAAGGAGCACTTCAGGAAAGGTCTTTTATCATTTACCACAAGGAAAAGTAAAACAGAAGACAATAGGTAATGTATGTTGATAAATTATGCCTACACTCAATAGTTGGCGATATATTTTTCTGTTTGAGAAGCAATACCAGTAATTATAGATTCTCAAATTAAGGGAATAGACCCTGAGGTTTCAGCTAATTTTCGAGATGATGGATTTGAGAGATTCAAAGTGTTGGTTTCCAGATAGTTATATGGTCTAATGTTGGACTGCTTCTGTCATATCCTCCCTTGGCTTTTATTAGTAGACTCTGAACAAATGCTTAAATAGAACTGGCCCTTAACTGATACTTCCTTTGCGTTAGAGGGGGAAAAGTCAATTTTATTGAGGGCCTACTAACTCTTAAGGCCTTCATATTGGTCTTATTATGCAAGTTACATATTTGAAATTGAGGCCTGAACAAGTTAACTTGTCTTCAGTTCCAGTTGGTGGGCAAGCTGAGATTTGAACCAGCTCTAAATTTCTACTGAAAGGTTGAAATTACAAATAAATCTTCAAATAATTAGGGGCACCTGGGTGGCTAAGTCAGTTAAGAGTCTGCCTTCAGCTCAGGTCATGATCCCTGGGTCCTGGGATGGAGCCCCACATTGGGCTCCCTGCTCGTCAGAGAGCCTGCTTCTAAAAGTTCTCTTTCATTATGCCACAGTATAAAAAATATTTCAAGAAATAGTTATTATTTCTCTGACTTTGGTACTGTGAACTACGTAAATACTTGAAGGCCGTAATAATTCAACCTACTTTGTTGCTAGGTATATTGAAATGTTTTCATCATAAATTGTATACTAGTGAGTTAAGGTACTTCTTCTTAGTTTAGTGCCAGGAACACTATAGTGAGGGATAAAGAAGTATTTCTGGAAATACTTGGATACATTGATTAAAATAGATTTAAAATCG